AGAGAAGAACTTAAGCAGTTAATATGTGCGATTGAGTGAAATTGCTTTGCTGAATGTTTATGAGTAACCCAAGACCAGTGAAATGTGCTGATATTTTAACCATTTCAATGCTGAACTTGTGCCAAGAGGCTGTGGAATAGGAGGAAAAAAAGAATAATTTCTCCTGATCTGCTGTGTATTATATTTCCTGAAACTGAGAGTGTTGGGTAAGACAATTTTATGGCACTTTCACAAATAGGTTTGTAGAAGAAAAACAATAAAGCTACAACAATTATGGAACTTGTCCTCATCTCAGGGAACTGCAGGAATTCAACAGAAGAGCAGCAGGTTTAAACCCATGCCCGTTTCTGCAGAAAATCCTCTGGAACATCACGGCTCCCTACAAGGGGCAATTATTTTTGCCTTTGGGTTTTTTTTGACCCCCTTGAACCTTTTCAGACATTTCCCTTTCACATTCATTCCCAGTTTAACGTGAGTGGTTTTAAAATGTAGAGATTTCCGACCCTGAAATGACTGTTTCCCACTGCCATCATTGATGAAATAAACTACCTCTGTTGAAACTTTCTTTTGTCTAAATCATTCACAGTAAGACTTGCCTCTTTCAGACTAGAGGAACCTCTTAAAATATAAAATCATCTGCTTGGTTTCCTTCTTTATCCAATGTTCTTTCTTAAGCCAGTGAGATTTGGAGCTACTTCTGACTTCATACTTACTCTCATTACCTTTGTTTCAGAACACAGCCATATTACCTACCACCTGCCCCATAAATGCCAGTCTTTTAACATGATAGTTTCTGAAGATTCTCTGCACTTAAATGTTCCACCAAATTCTATCTCCATTCTCTCCAAATCTAACTTTCCCACCCCTAGACTCTTAGGGGTGTATTCAACACATGTCCCAAGGGCGACAGAATCCAACTGCATCATACTCATCTATAAAATGTTCTGTGGGCTGTTTCAGGAGCTTCAGGTTTTAGCAATGCTGCCCATCCATCTTGCCTCACACTTCTTCCTCTAAATGCTTTCTCATCCCACTTCTGTGACTGTACCTTTTCATTTCATTGGCTTGCACCTTCGATTGCTATTTCAAAATATTCTTGGAGGTGCATTTTCTCTTCTATCTGCTTCTCCAGATATCCTTAGGGTTATATTTTATACTTATTTTCAGAACTCTAGTTTAGTCTAAGCACATGAGAATCCCAGCCTTGAGATGCGTACAATAATGTTATGGTGTTGAAATTCAAGGGTATTTGTGAAATTACCTGGCACAGGGCCTAATCCATAGAAGACTTTCTATAAAAGTCTCTGGTTCAATGATTCCTTTATTCGTTCAATGTATATTGAGCACTTAATGCACAAAACTACTACCTGGTGATAATACTTTGAATCATGCTAGTTGCTGGGGGTTCAGATATGAGAGACCCTACATTTGCTAAAATAGTTCTAGACATGTGAATGCCATGCCCTGAGTACTTTATACACTTCTGTATGCAGTTCTGCACCAGGAACGTCACACATAACTAACAACCTGAAGGGAGGGATTTTTACCCCCTTGTATTATTTTTGATGCAGGTTATCAACATGAAGGTTTGACAGTCATAATTCCAAAACTCTTCTAGTCTCAAAGTGAAATATTTTAGTAAAGCGTTAAGGTGATGCCCAATATGGTAGAGACTCAAGGACTCTACATAAATGGACTTCTCTGTTTACTTATTACTCATGTTTTGGGTCTTAGATTAAAGTTACTTTGTTAGGGGGACTTTCCCTGGCTCACTCAAATAGAAATTAGTTCTCCTTATACTTTCTCTCACACTCTGTACTTTCCCTTTGTGGTACTCACCACAACCTGCAGGTGTGGATTTATTGTGGGATTATCCCTTTTGTGTCCATCTCCCCTGGGACACTGTAAGTAAGCTCCGAGAAAGTACAGACCTTATCCATTTCATTCAATACTCTATACCCAAGCTTGAGCACAGTGCTTGACCCACAGTAAGTGTTCAATAACATTTGTTGAATTATTATTGTCATAATAACATTGATTACAAAAGTACAAGCAGTTGATTCAGTGGTTTTTTTTTTCTTTCCCCACTTTGGAATCAGTCACCTAATTTTTGAAGCATCTTTCCCTCCCTCGTGACTTCTGTGTGGCATATTACTGAACTGTTTGGGGGTTTCACTGGCTGGCTGTGAAGAAGGGGACAGAAGCAGTTGGTTGCTTTTACCCCCATGACAAAAGCTGATGGCAATTGGAGAAGAAAGACTGAGCTAGAAAAGGTCAACTATCAGACAAGTCTGGGAGGTGGGGAAAGCTGGACATGGGAGGAGAGTGACCTTGGTGTCTTCCTGTCCTTACTTCCTGTCTCCCCAGGAAGTGTCACTCAGAGGTTTTCAGGAAAGGGTGTTGTCATGGCAACTGAATTGGCTCTTCCCCTCCTGGTTGTATGGGGACAAGTGCCCTCGTGTACTCCGGCTGTCCCCATGCTGCAAGGGGGAAGAGGGCAGTCACTCTGAGGCTTCAGAAGCATCATGGAAAATGCAGAGCAGACAAGTCTGCCATGAAAGAACCGACTACAGCATGTGGCAAGGACTCAAGCCCAGGATGCCGCAGAGCCTGTTCTTGAACTAATTAAAATTTAATCAGCTAAAGCCATTTTCTTGATAATTTGGAAACCCTCTCTTAACTTTTGCAAGTTCCAAAGAGCCTCTAAAATAGAGGACGCTATATTTTTGCATATTTCTCTCTGTGGATTAGGTTTCAGACCCAAAAAGGCACTTCAGAGAGAGGAACTCTAGACGGAGTAACCGTGGAATTCACCATCCAAACCGGGACACTTTAGAGAGCTAAAAGAAGTGCTATTAATATCTATACCAGGACAACAGCTATCAACTGGACTGTCCTGGGCAAAATGGGATATGCACTCCGGAAAACTCTAGGGTCAAAAGCAGATTAAATGCACCCCTGGGATCGAAAATCCAGGCAGGCAGGTCTGTGTCTGTGTGACTCCAGGCCATGGCGGGTGGTAGGTATACAGTAGGTGATCAAACTTATTAACTGAATGAGTAAATCCAAAGTGGTCCCAGGCATGCTTTCTGAAGAGGAATTGATATGGGGTCCACGAACCTAGGTCAAACAGACCCAGCAGTGACACTGCAAGGGGTGGTCTGTGTTCTTCAGGAAGTCAAGTCTGCAGGAGCACAATACAGAAGGAGATGTGTATTCCGTGTTAACTCATCCCTAACTGTTAGCAGTTAATTGCCTTCTGTTGACACACCCTGAGGGGAAATGTGAAGCAGTTCTTGACATTTGCATATGCATTGTCTGCCTACTTATTTTGCTGGGTCCTCATCTCCTAAAATTCACATGACTGTGCCCTGATTTTAAAATATACACATAACAGGCACCATACTTTGGGGTCTATTTGGCAGAAAGTGGGTTTCTCGGGATTTCCTTCTGGGTTGGCCAGAGATGCTGGCTGCAGCCCGGGGCCTGCCCAGACTCGCTGGGTCACTCTTGTTCCCACCCCTCCTCCACCAGCCTGCCCAGTCCTTCAGGAAGAGTGCAATGGTCCATTGACCTCCAGGGAGCAAAAGGGCACATTCAGCCTTTTTAAAGGCTATGAACACTCTGAGTGACACCAGAGCCCACGCCTCCAATGGCAAGGCCAGCGGCCCTGGAGAACAGGGGCGAGGCCTGTGTGTGCCTCCTCGTCCACCTTTAGCCTTGCCCTGGAACTGACCAGAATCGATGCCCCTCTTCCTCAGGGCCAGCTGAGTGCTCCGTCCTCTTCCCATGCCTCGGGAGAGACCCGTCTCCTCTGACAGACTCAAGATTCCAGGCCGAACTTTCCCATGCCATCGTCCCTCAAAATAGCCGGAGCTGAGCTGTATTTATAGCCGTGTGAGACTCTAATGGGCCAATTTGTTTGAATTTCCACTGCTTTTGTGTTGAGCATACCCCTCACCCGTGGACGTTCTCTTTAGGCCTTTATTGATGGGGTGTGTTAGGGTAGAGGGGGCCATGTTCAAGATGGTAGCTGTATAGAGTGCGGGGGCTGTTTTGCATATTTACTGTTCTTTCAAGCCGGTTTTTTGAGAGAGAGAAAGAGACAGAGAAAGAGGTTTCTGTAAGTAGCCCGGACAATGAGAACAAGCCCGGCTGTATGCCAAGCACGGGATCTCGGCCAAAACACATATCATTAGCTTGGACCAGCTATAAGCAAGGAAATGAGAAACATATGTTGGAGAGCAAGGTTAGGAGTGAGAGACTATGGGTCAGTGACAGTCACCCTAAAACTTTTCCCTTGTTCTTCAGCTGTGGCCTGGCGGTGTCAAATGTCATTTCGACTGCCTTGATTTCTCATGGTGGGGCTGCCTGTGTTTTGTTTTGTTTTTTTTTTTCTTCCTCCCCCTGTCGTTTCCTGACGGGAGTTTTTTTGGGGAGGGGAAGAGGGAGCCTTTGGGGAAGGGCTGGTGTGATAGTTTTTCTCAGTTCTGGGAAAATCACAACCTTGTTTCCCGTGATGCTCTCGGAAATTCCTCACTTTCTCTGAAATCACGGTGTCTCTCCGTTTGGGATTTGGACTTGGTTTGTGAAGGGAAGAAAGAGGGGAAGGCTTTGAAAGCATTTCTTGCTGTTTCTTTCTAAAATATAATTAGACGCGCCTCATTACCTCACGCTGAAGGACTTTTGTACTTTTTCCGAGCTGTGTTTGCTGTGATCTCTGATGGGCTGCGGCCTGTCGTATCCACTTGGCATTTTATCATATTAGCAGTTATTTTTTCCCCAACACGTCTGTCCTCTCCTCTGGCTCTCTGCGAGGTATCTGGACTTGATTTGCTGGTCTGAAGGCCACGCCCGGAGAGTCTGTTGGGGCCCGGTGCCGGGTGACGGGCCTGTCCTCCTCCAGCCCTTCCCGACTTCCCTTGCCTCCACCGCATTCGTTTTCCTTAAAGTTTTTCCCGGACAGTTTGCTAACAAGGCTGTGCTCTCTTCCATCCCAGGGTCAAGACCCTGTTCTCTATAAAACCCAGATGAAGAACTGTATCGCAGGAAACTCAGAGGCGGTCCCTGGAGAACCAACTGTGGCTACTGTTCTGAAGGCGAGGATGGCTCCAGATGGCTGCCCGGGAAACTCACTGGGCTCCGAGGCCTGGTGTTGGCTACAGTCACAAGGCAGCCAGGGGCACACCCGGCCCATCCTGCTGAGGGGCTGTCTTGCCAATGGGTTTGCAGGGCTGTGCAAGCCTGGATGGCAGAGAGCTGGAGGGAAAGGCCCTCCCGTAAATTCTCCTGGCCATCCTTTCTAACACTTGGGGAATGGTGTTGGGGTGGAAACCATTTCAAATAATTAAAACATTTGGTCCCTGTTTATCCTTTGCTTCCTTCTTCAGGCTGTGTTCTGAAAATAAACTTTGCTCTGAGTTTCCGGGCTCCTAAAATTCCCGAGTGTGTGAGTGTCCTGAAGGCCTTGGGCAGAGTTAATGATTAGCTTGAGGTTAGCTGGACCTGTTTTCCCCAGGTGAGCTGTCTTCACACTTCAGTCTTCATTTTTTCCCCCTCTTTTTCTGGGTAGCAGATCTCTCTCCTCTGCATGGAGACAACCCTTATTGTTGACTGTTGCTCAGCACTCAGTGGATCAGGAAGGGTGCGTGCCGGAGTGTGTGTGCATGTGTGTGTCCATTTGACAGAAAAAAAAAAAAAAAACCCAAAAAACAAGAGAGGAACTAGGGCAGCCAAACCACAACATGCAGGCAATGGGTATTTTAAGTCTTAGATTGACGGCGAGGTAGGATCCTGGCTAGGTGCCTGAATGTCTTCCAGTTACCAAGCGTCTATTTATCAACCCTCTCTCCCTTCCCTCGCTGTCATGGTGGAGGGCAGTTGGGATGAGGTTTGAGTCCATGTGTTTTCTTTCTGTGTCCTTACTGTTGGGCTGCCTCTCAAATCTCAACACAGCCAAAACTTGCCTCAAATCACCACTTCCCGCCATCTCCTCTACCACCTTGCTGCCCAACCACATCTATGCTCACCTAGAACCCAAAAGCCTTCCAAACGGCCCCTCCACTTCCTCTTTCACCCTGTGTTGGTCTATTCACCAATGAGCAGCCAGAGGTACCATCAGAAAACCCAAATCAGATTAATTTCTGTTTTCCTGCTGACAGCCCTGCTGGGCCCTGCCTACTTTTCCAGCTTTATACTGAGCCATCTTTCTTTGGTCCTTTATGTTCCAGACACACTAGCCCCATTGTTGTTAGGAATAACAACAATGTCTACTCAACGGGTTGGGAGGAGTAAATGCTTTTTAAACATATAAAGCACCTAAACCAGGGTCTGACCATGACTGGGGCTCAATGAATGGAAGTACCATTCCATTTAATTCTTTGAATTTGCCAAGGGCTTCCCTGCTTCAAGGCCTTCACAGACATCTGCCATTCATCTTTTTCTCTTTGTCAGATAGGTTCTTTCTTAGCTTTCAAGTTTGAGTTTAAATAGTAATTCCTTAGAAATCTTTTCTAACTAGTCTGTTGAAATAGATTCCCATCCTTTCATTCCCAATCTCAGTATTCTCCCGTAATAGCCTATTTATTTCCCTCATATCACTTTTTCCAACTTGTCATCACTTATTATGTTTACCTGTGGGCACAGGTAGGTGTGTATATCCTGATCTAGCACAAGAAGCGTTTGCTGAAATAATATCATATAAAGGAATGATCAAAACTCCGAACCTGTCTTCTTCTAATACCAAAGCCACGTTCTAGCCACTGTGTCTCCTGGGCCACATTTTCCTCTCTAGTTCCTACAACTATTCATTTATTCTCTCATCCTTTTATCAGGATTGACCCTGGGCTCTTGGTGATGGAAATTCTCTGAATCTTCTAGGGGCTACCACATCCCTTCACCATCACTCTATTCTTTCCTCTTGCTTGTGGGCCAGTTTCTCCAGTGAGGCTCACACTTTCATTTATATGTAAATGATAAATAATAGAATATGCAATGCCCAGAGTGACTTCAGTGACTCATAACTCCTCACCTGCCTAGTTAGAGAGCTTTGGGGATGAATTAACTCATCATCTACCCTTAAGAGATCACTGTCTATGCAATTACTCCACGAACACCCAAGATTAGGTATCTGAGAGCCCTACCTGAAGGCCTGAAGAGACAGGAGGAAACCAGAGTACTCATTTTTTACCCTTCTTCAGTTCAGTTCAGTTCAGTCACTCAGTCGTGTCCAACTCTTTGCGACCCCATGGACTGCAGCATGCCAGGATTTCCTGTCCATCGCCAATTCCCGAGGTTTATTCAAACATATCCATCGATGGTTGATGATGCCAACCAACCATTTCATCCTCTGTCGTCGCCCCCTTCTCCTCCCACCTTCAGTCTTTCCCAGCATCAGGATCTTTTCCAGTGAGTTGGTTCTGTTCATCAGGTGGCCAAAGTATTGGAGTTTCAGCTTCAGCATCAGTCCTTCCAATGAGTATTCAGGACTGATTTCCTTTAGGATGGACTGGTTTGATCTCCTTGCAGTCCAACGTACTCTCAAGAGTCTTCTCCAACACCACAGTTCAAAAGCATCAATTCTTCGGTGCTCAGCTTTCTTCATAGTCCAACTCTCACATCTATACATGACTACTGGAAAAACCATAGCTTTGACTAGATGGACCATTGCCGTAAAGTAATGTCTCTGCTTTTCAATATGTTGTCTAGGTCAGTCATAACTTTTCTTCCAAGGAGCAAGCATCTTTTAATTTCATGGCTGCAGTCACCATCTGCAGTGATTTTGGGGCCCCCCAAAATAAAGTCTCTCACTGTTTCCATTGTTTCCCCATCTATTTGCCATGAAGTGATGGGACTGGAGGACTGATTCTACTTACCAATCATCATGACTATATGTTGTATTATATAGAAATAAGAGCTAAGATGTGGTCACCTGACCTGTCCTCATGAATCTTGCTTTCTCTCATAGCCAAGAACACAAAGAAGGACAATGTCCTTGACTGAATTTTTTTTATTATTTATTGATTAATAGCCTGTCTTTTTTTTTTTTTTCCTTTTAGCCTCTGTGCACTTTACTAATTACTTCTCTGAAAATCCTTTTACTTTACCATTCACCAGAATGCTGCCACCTTTGGGAAAGAAAGTGGCAACATGATGGAGTGTAAGCTTAATAAAAACTGAGCTTCCAGAAAAGTATTTACTGAAGTGCTGGTCCAGCCCCACCCTGCAATATAATGCACTGTGAAGGCAATGATGTAATCATGAGAAATAGCACAAAGCTTGCATCATAGTGATTCTTCTCATCCAACAGAATAACCCTAAGGATAACTATCTTCATCATTTCATTCTTGGCCCCACCTGGATTTGTACCACTGGTGTGACTAAATCATGGAAACATGTCTATCTGCACATTTGAGACAGTCTGTTCCATTAATGTGATCTGAAGGTGAAATCTGTATATCCCCCAGACTAAACTACTTCATGATTTGAATTATTAAGAAAAGCCCAAATAGTTATTCATTCCCTTAAGAGGGAAAACAAAGGTCTCTCCCATTCATATGCAAAAGAGATTCCACTAGTTTATATATGTTTGGATGGGTAGCAGATAAATGATTTTACTGAAATGAAATTTCTTTTCTTTTTTTGGCCATGTGATGTGGCATGCAGGATCTTAGTTCCTCAGCCATGGATTGAAACTGTGTCCCCTACAATGGAAGTGTAGAGTCTTAACCACTGGACCACCAGGGAAGTCCCAAAATGAATTTTCTAGGATTTCATAGTGGGAACTTTGGGAGCAAAAAAAGAATGCTGGTGGTAAAGAGGAAGGAGAAAATATTTCTTGAATGTGACATATATCATTATAATGGCACCTTAAATTCTGAGGTTACCTCTATTTGAAAGAATATGAAACATAATGTACACAGCATTGTAAACCTCAAAAATACAAGTATCCTTACTTTAGAGATGGGAAGAATGGATTCACAGATGAGTCTTCCCCCAAATACAGAACTCTGGAGGCATGCCAACACAGTATATTGCCATTCCAGAGCCTCTGTGTTTCCACAGATCTCAGACTAGACCAAACAATTTTTTTTGGTATTAGACTTGAATCAAAGGGGCAGCCAGGTTGTATTTAACTCAACAAATAAAGTAAATGTTGATTGAGTGTCTACTATGTACAAAGACTATGAAAGGCACAGGCCTTGTTCTCAAGGAACTTGTAACTTAGTGAAGGAGACAGACATGTAAACTAAATTTAATGTAAAGTACTATTGAAGTAAAGCAGTGAGAAAGAAGAACGGTTGGCTAGTTGTGGAGTCATCCGAGGGGTGGAGCTGCTCTGGATGGGGGCTGCTTATGACAATCAGAAAGAGAAAGATTCACTGGTAGAATCAGGCTACTTCCCTGCTGACACCAGGGAATGCTTCTGACTGGTGGAGATTTCCTCTTTGTTCTGAGTTGAACTACAAGTAGGTACCTGCAAAAATCCACCATGTGCTTCTAGCTGTAGCCACCAAAGATATGTAAATTGCTTTAATCCCTCTCAGGTGCATCTGCCTTCACAATTCTAAATCTAGATGACATTTCTCTCTTCTTTCCCAGTGCCAAGACCACTTTGTTGCTGTTGTTAAGTCACTAAGTCATGTCTGACTCTTTTGCCACCCCATGGACTATGGCCCACCAGACTCCTCTGTCCCAGTCAAGAATACTGAAGTGCATAGCCATTTCCTTCTCCAGGGGATCTTCCCAACCCAGGGATCGAATCTGAGTCTCCTGCACTAGCAGGTGGATTCTTTACCACCAAACCACCAAAGAAGCCCAAGACTTCCTTGCCTTCTCCTGTTTCTGATTAAATGTACCAATTTCTTCAACTCTTTCCCCTAGGGATGATTCTCAAACCCTTCACTATCTGGGCATTCTTCACTTGACCCATTCTAGTTTATTAATGTCCATCCTTAAAATCAGCATTGAAAACGGAACACAATACAGGACTTTAGACATGTGTTGACCAGTGGGTCACTTTCTTCCCTTGTAATCCATCCTTGCCTCTGTTTATTCATCCATCCATCCATCTAAATGACACTTAAATAAGCTTCTGTAGTAGTAGGCACGGTTCTAGTTACTAATAGGGGATAAAAAGATGAAAAACTTCAATGAAAATCAAGTTTAGAGAGATGATGATTGGAGAGAACCATATTCCTACCAACACAACCTAAGATTTTATTAGTAATCTGGCAGCCATCATTCACACAGTTAGCACCTACTGAATTTTTTCACCCCTAAACTTCTAACACACAGCTTCACAAAA